AAAATGCCCTGACTCCCTAGAAGTCACACAGAAGATCAGCCTGAAAACAAATCATCCTCTGAACACAGGAAAAAATGATGGTGGGTCCTTCCCACCCTAAGCCTTTTCCCCTGCTGTGGCAGCATGACCCTGAAAAGACAAACCCTAGAAATTAAAAGGCATCTGCAGCAGAGTCATTCTGAAATGAGGGAGGCTTCACTTTGGGGCTTATTTTACTGATAGTGACTGCAAACCTTGAACAAGGTGCTCAGTGGATAACACACACATTTTGGAGGCAGAGGAAAAGGGGAACAGGGAGAAGGCAGCCCGAGAGGTGAAGAGGAAGGTATCAACGAGGAAACGTTAGCAGTTTGATTGCTACCATTTTCTGAGCTATGCCCGCAGGTGAAACACATTAAAATCTTGTTTTCAAAGAGCAAAGCAGAGGAACGTACTAAAACTGTTTCTGGAGAGAGCAGCTGAATTCCCGGCCAAGCGTGAAAAGCCTATTGCTCTGAAGTTGTACAAGCAAGGGACTTTCACAGGGAACCAGGGAAGAGGGCTACTCGACATTAAACCCGATACTCTGCTAAGCGTATAGTGTTCCCAAGAAGCTGAAGAATGCAAGTCTGTGTCTGATACCTCCACCCACGTAGGTGCTGGCTGCTGAGTAGCCATGATAATACATGCGTTTTCTTTTATAGGAATGGAACTGCACGCAGGAGAAACCCAACGTGGTTTGCTCTGCAAATCAGAACACTAAGTGAGGGAACTGCTAGGGGCTGGGAGAGGTGCAGGATTGTGTCCTTCACCTGAGCTGACCTGGCATGACTCCAGGGAGGGAAGAAGCTGCGTGTTCCTTCCAACTGTCTTTGCGCCCGCCTCCTTCTACAGTGTGACACATGAAAATGCATTGATTTATTTACCATGCTTCCCAATAAAGCCCACTTCTGCTCACAGTCAAGTCAATGGCAGACTTTCACTAAGCCAAAGAACTTCCTAGCCCTGGGAATAAAAGGATGTAACAAACGTTTGCCTTAGGTCAGCAATAACCTTTTCTGCATGCAACAAAGAGTACCCTGGTTTTAAAAACAAATGCCGAAAAACAAACTTAATCCAATTCACAGTAACTATCTCTCCCTAAAACCCCAGCAGAAAACCTCAACTAAGGCCATTTAATTCTGGCTGGAAGAACAAAGGAAAAGTCCATTAGGAACAGTGCTCACTAAACCCAATACTGTCCTGCACCCTCCCTTTTGGTGCATCTCACTATGAATCCACATTTTGAGACGCGTTTTGCAAAACCGCCTATCAGCTGATGGTTTAGTGACCTGATTCACTTTCCACCTAGTTCCAGCTGATCCTAGGGACACACTCAGTTCTAGCAGTGGCAGATAAGATTTCAAGTTAGATGACTTAGTTTCATTGGCATCATACAAGCCTGAACCTCGGCAGAAATGAGACTCCTGAGTCACTGTTTTGCAGCTTTTCATTCAAATAAAACCACTGGATAACCACTGGCTACAGAAATATGCTCAAACCAGCCTGCCCATATTAATGTCTTAGCACTAAGCTGTTGTCTTCAGGGGATAAAGCACTTTGCAAAGCTTTCTTTGCTACTGTCTTCCTGGGAAAGGTCAAAGCAAGGCATTGACTGCATTTCTCTCTCATTCAAGCACACAATGTAATTGATAAATATCCATTGGGAAATACACCTACGCATAGAAAAAGGCCTGGCATAAATGCATCTTTGCAAGAAAACGACGATTTTCAAGACCTTATGTTTCTAACATATGTGAGGTTAACACCATGAACTGTACGGACACCAGGAAGACAAGACAGTACAGATCTCTTAAAAGCTGCCAGGTCTTTAGAAGTATAGACGTATGTTAGGAAGCCTCTCCTTTGACTCATTAAAGGCTCTCACTCATTAAAGGCAGACAAGGAGAGTCCAGAAGAGATGGAGGGACAGGGGGTAATGCCTATGAACCCCTGTGTTCCACAGGCTGGCGGGGTGGAGGTGGGTGAGTGGAGGGGAGGATTTCAGGTACTTACCCTGAATCTGACTCTGAGGCTGAGGGTTAAAAGCAGTGGTGTGGTTCAAGGAGGCTCGTGGGTTGGGTGTGGGGGCTGGGTGGTGTGGGCTGACCCTCATGGCTGTACGACGCAACTGCTCCAGTTCACTCAGGCGCTCTGAAAAGGACAAGCTCCCGGGCTTTGTCTGCTCATCTATTTTCTGACGATGTCCTATTGTGGGAGGGGGGGGAAAAAGATCAGAAAATCTCACTGACACATGAGGTCTGTTGAGTTTTTTTCTTTTTAAAGAATTTATTCTTTTTTTTTTTAACTCCTCATCCGCTGGCAAAGTATCTAACCAACTAGCAGTTGTCTGAAATTAAACTGAAACCACCTCTCTGCAAGCACAGGAGACACAAACCAGTCATGCATTGCACCCATATCACAGGGCAGCCTGAGACATGGCCTATTCTGAAGAATCAGATCCACTGAAAATTGCAGTGCCTTCTCACACCTCTCGCTAAGAGAGGAGATGTCTGTAAAAGGAGGACTGTCTGCAGGGCTGCATAAAAGGAGGAAACATCGAGTGGCCCCTGTGCTAAACCTGCACTGGAATAAGTCCTCAAAAATTTAATCACAGATTGTCATAAGGTACCTCAATTAGACAAGTACTATGGGGGCTATAAAATAATAAACCCAAACAAATCCCATTTTTGGATTCTTTAGCAACGGTTTTACAGACAGAAATAGGAAAGAAACACCAGAAACTGGCAGACTTGAAACTGTGGGGTAATGAAGTCTCTCTTAGTGGCACTGAGAGCTTCCAAAACATGAGGTCCTACCAGACATCCAGCTATAAGAGAGTAGATGCTGACACTATAGCATCAGCCAGTGCACAGAGGACTTGACCATGTCCATATGGTAGTTTGGGGGTCCAGCACTCCCCAAGGCAGCCCCTGGAGCACAGTTCCCCTGAAAGCTCTGGTGCTGTGGCCCTGAGAGGCTGGGAAGGAATGAGGAAGATGCTGGAAAGGCCCAGCTCTAGTGCAGCATTGAGGCACATCCAGATTCAGCTGGAAGGGCAAAGACATATCTCATCTTCGGCAGGACTGGTTTCAAGATAAGCCATAGCTAGCAGCAGTGAGGGGTATGCAAAGATGAAGGTAATGCATTTCTAACTGTTGCCTGTGGCTCCTCTCTTCTCTGGGATCCTTTGTATGTCAACCTGTAACCACAAAGACTGCACACAGAGCATACAAGAGGGACATCTCATCTGCTGGAGCACTTACTCTCCAGTAAGCATGATGAAAGCACAAATTTTAAAACCTTTTTCCACCTTCTTAAGAGCTAACCTATTGTCACAACTTTGCAAATCACTTGTGTGTGCATTGGTTTCCCATCTTATGAGATATCCTTCAAAAGCAGGCTATCTTATCCTGGAAGGCTGCTGACACTACACTTTGGGGCTGAAAAGGAAACCTCCCTTATGTTTGGTAAAATGTCTGAAATGGGATGGTTCAGCCCTATTCCCAAACAGGCAGAATAAAAACTTTCCTTTATAATTCCCCCTCATCCCCCAATAGGGCTTCTTCTTCTTAAAGATCACAGAAAACAGCCCTTCAGCAGAGAGCAGAAACGCAGACTGTCTGGCACACAAGTTGTCCTTTAAAAGATGCTCTCTCCAAATGGAGGGCAAGATACTGACTACAATGAGTCTGTGAGGACATACTCTGACCCCACCTGTATTTAGTCAATGGAGTAGGATCCCCAGCTCCAAAAATGTCATTTTCATATCTTCTGCTTGGGGACCTTCTTGTGGAGCAGCAGATGTCATTGTCCCTCTTTTTCTCCCAAACCCAGTCCCATTCCTGCACTTTGCATTTGTCTCAGGAAATCAGCTACCTTGTGAATCTTTGTGGCTTATCCTTTCTCCTTCTTCCCACAGCAGCACACTGTTACCCTGATGGGGAAACATGTCAAATCTCTATCCCAGAGGTCAAACATCTTTTGTTCTACTTGTTCCCTTGAAGAAGGTGACATTATCCTTGGTTTCTGCTGAACACCATAGTTTGCTGTCTGTCTCCTCCCAATTTTCGTTTTCTTGTCATCAAGAGTTGCCTTCTACAGCTTTCTTTGCATCTCCATCAACCCTGCAAGGAGGTGGCCAGTGCTGTTCCTATGGTTCCTTTCTCAACTCATGCCTACAGCAGTGAAATAGACTGGCACAAAACTCCTGAAAATAATTGACCATGCCCTGTTCCACATGTCCCCGTGGTATTTAATACATAAACATTCAAAAGCATCCAGCCTCCAATGTTGAGTATCAGTGAATAAGATCTCTGAAGAGCTCTGTATGCCCCTTACTCTACAGAGCGCTCTTTCAAGCCACCCTAACAGCTCAATCAAGACACAGGACCATTTTATGCACTAAAAGGAAAATGTGCATCTAAAAGCAGTTCCCAGTAGCTGCATTTCTAAAATTAAATTTTATAACTTGTATTATGGTTCCAAATTGCAGTGCCTTGGTGTTTCTTCCTGTTGCCAGGCCCTTTGGCACAGCTTGAACTGTCTCAGATTCCACACTGTTCTGTAAATTATCCCAAGAGGGGGGAAAAAATATAAAAGGACATATTATGTAGTGGTGGTTTCATCATTAAAGAGACCCATTAGGGCTTCCAATAAAAAAAATAATAGGAAGGGAAGGGAGAAGTGAAGAAAGATGAAAAATACTTTTATTTGACGTTCTGGTTGGTCAAGAGCAAATGCTTCATTTGTCAGCAGTGCAAAACTGGATGCTGCCTCAAGCTTTGGGCTCTTGATCCTGGACTTGAACGCAAACACGCAGAGTCATACAAGATGTGTAAAATACCTCATACATTTGGATTATTTTAAGCTTCAGCAGGCTGAACCCAGGGTTTGCAGAGCCAAGAGCCAGGTCCTTCCAAATCCATCCCCCTGATGTAATTTATTCCTAATTTTAAATTCCACTCAGACATCTTCTGCTTTTAAGTGAGCGCACCAACGCCAAGTTTGACCCCCTGCTATCCTACCTTCTCCTTCGGCCTCCCTGCTGCTGCCCTCCCGGCATCCGGATCTTTGCCTGCCTGGAGCGAAACCAAGTGTCCAGGCAGCGCAAGCCGGCGTGCTAGCAGCCTCGCATGGAGCTGAGTGGTTCCTCTGAAGCCAACAGGACAAGGGCTGCATTAAGGCCGAGGAGGCAGGAATTCACTTTCCTGCTCTGAATCTAGCTCAGGCACTAAATTTGTGTCAGGGCAGGGCAGACAAACCTGAGCTCGCTCTGAACACACCAGGGCAAATGAACTCAGGCACAGCATCCTCCCGAGGTCACCATGGGGCACCCCCTCTGAGCTGCTGGGAGTATTTCTGCCTGTCTCTGCACTGAGTGAAACTCCTGGACCCCCCCACTCAACCCTGCTTTGCCCCAG